CAGTAACGTCAGGTCTCAGTCTGGCCAGATTCAGACCTGATTACTTCTACCTCCTTGTTAAGTACCCGCTGGAACTGAAAATCTCACATCAGTCTTTTAGATTGTATGGCCCATTAAGTATTAACTGCACAGGATGAGGCTGATCCTTAGATGAGGAATGTGGTTATTTACCCTAATTGGATTGTGGTAATTGGAGTGACCAGCTGGCTTCAGCCATTCATCTGTCTTTGACATTCACCATGATGATCAAAGTTTTTGTGCAGAATGCTAAACATTACATGTTAACTCATCTCTAGCAGTTACAAATTATATAAATAGTGCCAGAAAGTGCCAAGACTAGATTTCATATTATGAAAGACTAATCAAGGTTTTTTCCCGCATTTTGAGCTGCTTTTACTGAGACAAATTTTTTAGATTTTGTAAGCTCTAGGCCAACATAGCTGTGAACTCCCTCTCCTAGGTGCCAGTCTGGTTCCATTATCCTTCTTGACCTAAGGTAAGAGGAGAGAAGTAACCAACAGGAGCAGCTTTCTCAATGGCTCTGTCCTAAGTTGGAATTTGCTGCCAACAAGTCAGTGTGACTTAATCTCTTTGTGCCTCAGTTTCCCCCAGCTATAAAATAAGGTGATTAATGCAGCTGTGAGAATGGATTGAAATGGTACAATTATATTTACAAATATTCTAAGCACATTGTAACAACTTAACATTAATATGGCTTAATACTTTATACAAAGGACCAGGAATAACATAATAGTTCTTTTAAACAGTTGAAAGGACAGGTTAGAAGTAGATAGATAACTATAGGTAGATATAGTATCTATACTATCTATAGTATAGATAGATAACTATAAAGTCGATGTGATCCATTACCTACAATGATTTCTTTAGGGTTGGTACCAGTGGAGGAAAGAACAAGTTGGCTATATGGAACAGTTTCCTCATGCATTCAATCTTCAAATGGACCTGTTCACACATAACTAGGATCAGTTGTAACAAGTTCTCCTTTGTATCAGGTTAAGACCACTCCCAAACTCATATTTGGTGTCCAATCAAAGTGGGTCTAAGTAGAGTAGGTAAAAGCCCACATCTCACTGTTACTAACTTCATTTGCATGTAGATTTTAAAAGCATTATTATCGGTTCTTAGCTGACCTCACTTTTGTAGTTGTGAAAGATTGATACTTTGCATTGATTTTTTCTTCCATATAATGTTTTTCTCTCTGTCATTTCTTTGTGGCCCACAAAAATTTCACTGAATCCACTGAATTGACCCATTTTCTGCTAAATAAACAGCCTTCCATGAAAACAAAAATGGTCTGTTTGCTTAAGAGTTAATATCAAGTAAAAGTTACTCTTGTCTTATAAAAAACAAAATGTATATGTAATTGTATATGTTCCACTGAATGAATGTTAAACTAAATGATTAAGGTTTCCTTTTGTCAATATCTAATTAAACTTCATCCATTTTAATTTTATGGTTTCTATAATTTGGAGGCAAAATTTTTGTCTGAGTCTTATAGGCCTCTAAAATACTGTAGACTTCAGCTACTTGGTTTCTGTTGCTGAATTGATGGAATAGTTTTATGCTTTACCTCTACAGCTTGAATTTGTCCACTTGCTAGAATGGGACAACTCAGGCAAGCAGAAGACCTGTGTTTTAGTCCTGGTTTGGCTATGAGCAAATCATGTGATTTAGGAAAAGTCTCAGTATGGATCTGGACTTCAATTTTCATAGCTATAAAATGAGGATGTTTACTTATTCTTTCATTCAACAAGTATTTACTGAGGACTTTCTATTTTGTCTGTGCTGGACACAGGGGATTCAAAGTTGAATGGAAGTAGGTACTATTATACCCTTTTGAGAGTCTGTAGCATAGCCACTGAATGATCTTAAAGGTCCCGCTCATTGTAATATTCTACGGCTGTGAATTTTACTGTCTCTTAATGGTCCTGTTTATGAAAAGTTTCAGTGGCAATTTAGTATCTTCTTTACTGCTTATCCAGCATACAAGAATGACTGACACACTGCAGGTGTATATAACTGACCAAGAACTAGCTTTGGTACACTTTTCAAGAGTTAGTAATTGTGAACTTGAAAAGCTACAGCCTTAAAAATCCTTTATAAATAGTACATAAATTCACTGAAATCTCTACATTTTTAAAGTGGCTTGTAGTGAGTAATGAACCCTACACAATATTTAAGATTTTTAAGCTCTGGTTAAAAATGAGTCAGTGCAAGATAAAATTACCCTTCAGAGCTATTTACTTTTAGTTACCAGGCTTGCCTGGCTTGATTCTACAAACCAAATATATTTTTAAGAAAATGACATTTTCTGCCACAGAGAATACTTAGGACAGTATTTTTAGATAGCTGTTCCAAAGAAGAATCCTTAAAATATATTTAAAGTGGTAGTAGATAACCGAAAGTGTAAATAAGAACCAAAATGTATAACAGATATTGGGAAATGGGGGATCAAGGGAAGGGTCAAGGTAGGGGAAAGAAAAGAAGGGTCAAGAAAAAAAAAGAAGAAAAAATGGAGCAAAGCTTTTGTAAATATGTTATTATACATATCTGAAGTGTACTAATAATTTTTTAAAAAAACACAAAAAAACCTTGCCAATTAAGATGGATTTGAAAATGTTAATAAATAGCATATTTTTTTTGACTAGATCATAGTAATCTTCTTAATCTTGGCTCTGGGTTATAACAAACAAATGAAGCAGTGTTCTTCCTTATAGATTGTCATGGATTAACACATGTAATCTTGTTATTTTCTCATTAGCCTTACAATTTAGAATTTTTTTTATGTCTCTGGAATTGAAGCCTAACTCTTTCTCTCTGTATAATCTCTCAGACCCAGTCAATAAAGTTTTGCAGATTTAACATCTTAAAAAAATAAATGATGTGGTTGTAGATATAAATGTTGTTTTGTCTAAATATAAATAAATAACTGACTGATTTGAAGGATACATACACTTTTATGAGCTCTTCTAACGGACTCCTTAATAGGCCTTGTTTTTCTAATTTCAACATCTTCTCCCACCACCAACTCCATTTTATGTAACATTGCTCGTTTAATCTCTTTAAAGCCTAGTTATATTATACTGCTGTGTTTGAGTTTTTTAAGCCTGTCCATTACCTTTAAATATAAATTTGTTAGCCTAAGAAGATTGCACTGAGTCCAATTTATTTTTATAAGAAAGGCAGCTAGTAGACAACAAGATGAGAAAAAGCAATAGCAAGACCTTCTTTTTTTTTTTTTTTTTTTTTTTTTTGGGCATTGAACTCAGGACCTTGCACTTACCAGGCAGGCGCTATGCCACTGAGCTATATCCCCAGCCCAAGAGCTCCATTTATTAAAGGACACAGATTATTTTAGATATCAGAAAGTGTTCAGAAAAGAGTCTGGAACTGCTATCATTAGAGTGACCTGCTCACAAAGCTGAGCCACGGCTGGAATCCATGAAGTACGTTTTGAGAGGGTTCTAAAAATTCCCTCATTGATAAAAGTGGTTCCCTGTGTCTAAAATCTGTGAGTATACAATGCAATTTAAGCTGAGCATCTGTTTTCCTTCTGGAAATCTGATTTGTTGCATGTTAGACAGAGGGTGCCTACGTGACCAGCCTCCAATATATATTCTGAGCTTGGAGGCTCAAGTGAGTATCTCTAAGAAATGATATTTCACATGTGTTGTCACAATTTAATAATGAAAGAATCAAGTACAACCTTATAACTTCATAGGGAGAAGACTCTTGGAAGCTTGTGTCTAGATTCCTCCAATCTGCCCCATGCAACTTTTCCATTTGCAACTTGTGTCCACTCACTGTAATAAATTATAGCCAGGGATAAGACTGTTTGCTGAGTTCCAAGTCTTGCTAGCAAATCATTAAGCCTAGTAGTGATAGTCTTGACAGGGAGTGGGGTGATTGGGCTGTTATTTGTTGATATCACAGGTGATTTCAGGGAAGTTGAATTCTCTTTAGACAGGCTGACACATTAACACACTATCTTATAGCTTACGTCAATTATCAGAGTTCTGTGGGGAAATTTTCAAGAAGGAAAATCGACATTCAGAAAGATGGAAAGTTCTATTTATTAAGTGAGGCAATACTTCCCTGTGGGTATTCAGTTGAAATGTTCTTGGTTGCAAGATAATGAAAACTACAAATGTGCTTTATAAAGGTTAGTGATTTATCTCACAACTAAGAGGTATGAAAGAAAGATGTCCAGTACAGTCACTCAGTGATGCTTTTCTTGCTGTTTTACCATATTTACTGTATAGATTTTATCTTCATGGTTGTAACATAACTGCTACATAATCAAATATTGTTTGATACCCCAGTCATTAGGATAGGAGAATGCAAAAGTCAAAACCAACTCTGCTGTCTTCAGAAAATGCTAGTTGGCCCACATTTTTAATGTAACTGTCCCTTCCTCCAATAGAAGATAAAAATGAAAGTGTTTTACTTTACAGTTATACTACTAGAAATTGGAATGAGTGCTCGGTAACACATAAATGATCTGTCACGATTATTCTGACACTAATTGAACAGAAAAGCAAGATGATTTTTGATTCCCTATGTGAATATCCCATATGTTGGTACCTTAGTAGTAAGGCGAAGGATAAAGACCATAGGAATTTCTGTTGAGTAGGCAACATTCCCTTATTATCATAGCTTCCTTCTTCTTTTTTTTCTTTTTCTATTGGAAGTCGAATTCAGGACCTCATGCTTGCCAAGCTAGGTGCTGTGCCACTAAGCTACATCCCCAGCCCCACCTTTCTTCCTAAGCTTCTCTATATGTGCTACTGAAAAGTTTCCTAGAGGTCCACTCCTGAACTTGGATATTGTATTGCTGGGGTAGTAATAATCTTTTTATCTTAAAGCTCTTACATAATATGAGAAGGGCAAATGTGTTGTAGCATCACGTGATCAAATGAGACGCAGTATTAACTCTCCTTTTTTTTCTCCACCCCGTCTTGTTTTGTTTTCTTCCTCAGAAGCTGTAGATGAAACCAAACCTAAGGAAAGTGCCCGGCAGGATGAGGGTAAAGAAGAAGATCGTGAGGCTGACCAAGAACATGCCTGAACTTTAAGAAATGGCTTTCCACGTCCCTCCCCTCCCCTCTCCTGAACCCTGTCTCTCCCACCCTCTCTCTGCTCCACTCTGAAGTTTCCCTTCCTGTCCTGCTCACATCTGTGAGTCTGTCCTCTCCCGCCCACTGGCCCTCTTTCTCTCTGTGTGGCAAACATTTAAAAAAAAAAAAGCAGGAAAGATCCCAAGTCAAACAGTGTGGCTTAAACATTTTCGTTTCTTGGTGTTGTTATGGCGAGTTTTGGTAATGATGATCCAATCATTTTGGGAAATTCTTGCACTGTATCCCAGTTTTTTGATCTGGTGCGTGTGGCCCTGTGGGAATCCACTTTCCTCTCTATCTCTCTGTTCCAAGTGTGTGTGCAATGTTCCGTTCATCCGAGGAGTCCAAAATATCGAGTGAATTCAAAACCATTTTCGTTTTTCTTCTTTTCAATGTGATGGAATGAACAAAAAGGAAAAAAAAATCCAAAACCCAGTTTGTTTTAAAAATAAATAAATAAATAAGTAAATAAATAATAAAGCGAATGTGCCAATTAGCGTAACTTGCGGCTCTACGGCTCCTTTTTCAATCTGAATATTAATAAATCATGAGAGTAATCAGACTGCAGTGGCTGTGTGTTTCTGTTCCATCTGTTAGTTGGCCGGACACATTGGGATCTTACATTTATTTCATCTTTTTCCTGGTCTTGAAGCCTAATGCCAGAAACTCTGATAAAACAGAGGTGAAGCCTAAGGTTCTGGTCAGGACCAGTGGCTCTGGTTCTTGATGGGATGGTGGGGCTCCAGTTTGCTAAGGCTATGACAAAGTGCCACCCACTGGATGCTTCAGCAGATATCTATTTTCTTACAGTTCTGAAGGCTGAAAGTCTAAAAGCAAGATGGTGCCTGTGTTCATTCCTTCTGTGGGGTGTAAGAGAAAGATCTCTGTCAGACTCCACTCCCCGGTTTGCCAGCGTGCTCTTCCTTTGCATAGAGCAAAGCCTCTATGTCCTTGTGTCCAAACATCCCCTGCCCCTTCTAAGGAACCAGTCACACTGCTTTAGGGCCTACCCTACTGACCTCACTTTGACTTGATTACCTCCCTCAGGACTCTCCATGGGGCTGGGGATTTAGTTCAGTGGCATAGCACCTGCCTGGCAAGTGCAAGGTCGTTAATTTGATTCCTCGTACAGGAAACCTCCCCCCCAAAAGTGAAGACTGTCCCCAAATGAAGTCATTCTGAGTTTCTAGGGGTTAGGGCTTTGATATATGAATTTAAAGAAGGGTTCATGAAGTTTAGCCCTTAGTAGTCACTAAGACTTGCTTTTACTGAGAGATATTCACAATATTTTCATGACTCAGGAGAAGGAGCATTTATCCAATGAAAAGACATCCTAGGTTATACTAGGTTAAATATTATAGAAATGTACATAATTCTGAGATATACCCTGACTTTTGTTTAGGCTATTTTTTTAACCAAAATATTGATCTAGTTTATTTTATCATTTTCTGCTTATGAACTTCTATTAGACATCAGTCCCACAAAGGGCAAGTATCACCCACTTGATTAGTTAAAATCACTGTATCAGCTGATGATGATAGAATATAAAGAAAAGGTATATGTTTAGTACCCATCATTAGTTCTTTCAAATTTTCTTCCAGTGAGAGTTTTCTAAGTGCCTTCTATTAGAAGGTAAGTAGTTCTCTTGAGAGATAAAGCAATGTTTCTAAATCCTAAGGTTTCCATTCTATTTATTTATCCCTAAATTTCCTGGTCCAAATTCATAAGAAGCCATGCTCTGCTCAGCTCTAAGTCTTCTCCAACAGAAAAGTAAAAGAGAATCCCTTCAACCTCCTACATTTGTCCACATTTCTAAACCAGGAATAGAATCTAAGAATTTCTGTTCAGAAAAAATTCTTAGTGTAAAAGATAGCCCCCAAAGTAATGAAGATCGTGGCAATGAATCAGGTCACAAGTGCAAACCATAACTCTGTAACTTTGATCATCTCTGTGTTGAGCTAGTGCTTACTTAATACTTCAAAGAAAGCTGATGTCGTGTGAAGGAAGGGTCCTCCCTAGACCAAGTGAAGTCACTGACACTAAGTGAAATTTTCTTTGGGAGAAGCCAGTACACACACAAAAAGTCACAATGCATCAGTATTACCTACTGAGATAATTTACGAGTTTGACTTTATTCAGAGTGAGTAGCCCTTCCATGGCAGGCTTTGGAACAAGTAAGTGTCTGGAGTTCAATTGTGATCGGACTGGGATTCCATTAAGCATAGGGTAAGGTGTTAAAAAAGGACATCCATGGATTAGAACCAACTCACATGGAATGGCTGGCAGGTAACTGGTTGCTTTAAGTGTTCTCCTTTGCCTCAACATTTTATGTAGAATAAATGCTTTCATTTCTCCAAGATCTGTAACTCAAAGCAACATTACCATGACCTACAACAATTCAACTTCTTCAAAAAACAATTCTCAGTGTCCTCCACTGAATTCATGTTCTTACTAAAAGCAAGACTGTAGAATTTTAAAGGGTCTACCAATACATACTACTTAATGACCTTCGCCTTTGTGTCAAGGTTGGGGTGGGATTTTATTTTCACTAATAGATTTCTATTTGTTTTTGCTTTTTTTTTTTTTTTGCTTTTTGTGGCTGGGCCTCACTATGTAGTTGCGACTAGCCTTGAATTTACTATATAGCCCAGTCTCGAACTCACAGTGATCATCCACCACTGTGCCTGGCCTCTAATAGGCATCTATTTTTATTTGATTTATAAGGCCTTATTCCTCACTAGAATTTTAAAGGTGGAGAAGACCCATTAGGGGGGCTTACAATGGTCCTAAAAGGCATAACATAGATTATCGCAGCCCCTACTTTGATACAAAACAGCACGACGCAAACTATATACAGCATACGTAAAGTCGAGGGGAAACCAAAAAACATGGACAATTGAAGTCCCAGAAGCATATAAGCACAGTTTCTAACTTCTGTTCAGGAAGTAGCGCAAGTCGTTGACCTTAAAACATGTACATCTGGATTACTTTGAAAAATTGAAACTAGGTTGAGGGCAAGTACAAAAGGCCTCAGTATAGACTGGTGATCCTTTCAAAGGAAAATAAGATCATATTCTGGGCATCAGATCCAATACATCCTATTGGCAGTAAAACCATGGCCTTATCTGCAGGAAATAAGATCTTTTAAGTAAACTGTATTATTTGAGTCTAAAATGCTCAGGCATGATGTAATAAAATGTGAGTTTCTTTGAAGATAAAGGGATTTCTAAAATAGAAGTCTTTATTGCTATCACCCTATCCACACTATGCTGGTCCTCTAATCATTTCCATCCTCTATTCTGTGGCTTAGGGCAGAAATCTAGAAAGCAGCCTGATTTTTCCTTTCTTTAGATAACATTGAATTCATGAGCAAATCTACTGCTCTCTGTTCCAAAAGAGAATGAATAAAATGTGTGCCTACTGCTTTATCCATTTCTGTGCTCTCCTTGGTCAGTTTGAAGTGATCCAAGGTGTTTTTTTATCACAGCAGTACATTCCTGTATTCAGTTTCTAAAAGAAATGAGGAAGAGATTACTAAACTCCTCTCAACAACCTGGATATTGAGAGGCATTAAAAATGCAATGTTTGGGACTGGGGATGTAGCTCAATGGTAGAGTGCTTACCTAGCATGCACAAGTTCCTGAGTTCAGCCCTGAGTATCACAAACAAACAAACAACAACAACAAAAAACCCCAATATTTTGAAAATTGACCAGTTCCACGAGAACCAGTACTGAAGTAGACTTGGAAGCCTGAAAAATGGAAAAATCAACTTCATGAACAACTTCCATACATCAGTATTAAGATAAGTATTAAGGTTCCAGTAACTTTTTCATAATTTTCCCATACATTATCTGTTGTCATGGAAACATAGCTTCTGTTTCTCTGACTGTATAAAAGAACTTGGTGACCCTCCTAGCTAGATGTCAGTTAATAAACATAGCGTTAGAAATGTCAGATTCTTATTTTCCAAACAGAATTTTTGTCTCACCTTTCCCCTAGGAGTTTGAAACCCATGTTTACCTATCATGCACATAAGGCCTGCATCCATGTCCATCACCACTTTCTGTCAAGTACGTATCCCTATATGATTACTTTTCTGCCCTTCCTGGTAAACAAAACACAGTTACCAAGAATGTAGACAAGATTATAGCCAAGAGGATGATGAGTCATTAAATACTCTTGCAGAGTACTATTCAAATGACAAGGACATTTTGAATGTATGTTTTCCAGTGAATTGTTACCTGTTTTGTCTTCTTACAGGTATGTGTCACTGTTGGTAATTGCAGGATGTTTAATGTTACAGAGATATCTTCTTATGGACGATTTCAGTGAAGTGAGATGCTTCTATGTGGCAGAAAAGTGTTGTTGGTTAACCTCATGTCACTGCATTGTGGAAGCACATGCAATTGTCAAAAGAATTTTAAAATAATTTTAATGTTTAACAAAATAATAATATTTTGTTGGAGAAAAGTAGAAAATATAAATACGGTAAACATGAGATAAAAACAGTCTATGGTTTACCACTGAAAATTAAGAGAAGTTAATATTTAGAGATACAGCCTATAGTTTGGCTACTTACCTGCTTTCACTCTTCATATATCATCCATTTATCTGTTTACTTATACTTGTGTGTACATGTAGACATCTATTTAAATACGCAGATTTTAAAAACAAAAGTGGGTTCATGCTGTGTATATTATTTTGTAAACTGCTTTAGATATTCCACAGCAAACTGCAGGAATTTCTTCATCTCAATAGATACACATAAACAACACTGTATTTGAATAGCTACACTGTGTTTTATGTTTTTATAAGAGAACTTACTTAGCTGGAGCTATAAAAATAGAAAACTGGGTCAGTGGGAGTGAGTACTTTAAAGGCTTTTGATGTAGCTTGCCAGATTAGAGACAGAGGACTTTAAAATTCATGGTTGCCCTTGCTTCCTCCCTGTTCCATGCCAAGCCCTACTGAAGCCTGAGAGAAATGGAAAAATGAACAACCCATTATACCTTTATCAAAGTATTGTCTGATATTTTGAGCCAAGTGGGAAGGTTATAAAAAGCTCTACAATCAAAACCAAAACTATATATAAAGGCTTGTGTCACTCAACATGCTGACAAGCCCCAGAAAGCTGTCTGCTGGTGGACATGGGATGTATTTCACAGCCAGGCCCAAGAAAGGAGGGCTGACTGGAAGGGACTGATCCCATTCCACCAAAATGTAGAGTTATAAAGTAGACAGAGACCCATTTTTATTTAAAAATATTGCTTTGGTTTTTTTTCATAGATTTTTTTTTTTTTTTTCCCCCTCCGGTACCAGGAACCGAACTCATGACCTTGCGCTTGCCAGGCAGGCGCTTTTGCCGCTGAGCTAAATCCCCAGCCCCTTCCATAGATATTTTTGAATTAATTGTGATTTTGAAAAATTGCAATTAAATACTATCATTTTTAAAATTTTATTTTATTTTAAAAATAAAAGGAGGAAAACATTAACAGACAGACAACATTTTACAGCATAGCAAAAGAACAGTACAGATAGTACGGAGTTACAAACAAAGTGG